CTAAATGAAAGTCTTAAAGAGGAGGCCATGTGGAGAATGGTAGGAGGGGCGGAGATGAGAGAGGGAGAACCCCATGAGGGACACCTCAGTGGTGGGGAGGCTTCTCTGGTTGGGGGAGAAACCCTCTGGCCCCACACCGAGCTCACCAGCCCAAAGTTACTTTGCCAGGAAGAAGAGTTCTACGATAGCTGGCAATAGAAATTAGTGAGGACTCTCTTTGCTCAACTCGGTGAGGCTGAGGGTGGCTAAAGAACCAGTGGAGCCAGCACACGGTCTCGCTCGCTGGTGAGCACTCACCTGGTCCCTGGTGGAGGGAGTAGCTGTGTGAGTGGGCCAAGGAGCCTGTGGGTAAGGACTGAAATGAGCACCTTTGGCGTGGGAGCTGGAAGTTTTGAGACCATTGTTGTCCTGGTATGGAGCTTGCACATGAGTAGCGTACAGGAGGGCACCATTTTTTCAGCATTGGGCCCTCCCACAGAGGCTCAGGTCCACAACCACATTGGTCTGGTGAAATTGGCGTTGGAGGGCATGTGTGTGTGCGCGCGCACGGCCTTGGATCCCCACCCTCTGCACTGCTTGTGCTGCGTAGCCAGGGAAATGCCTGGCGGGTGCTCTCCAGCTCCAATAGGCTTTTCACTGAGATGTGGGAGTGCGCAAGCTGCCTTGGGTTCCGCCTCTCCGCATGCAGAGTTGCAAGGCTGGCGATTGGCTGTTGGGCTGCTCAGCCTGATCTGCGAGCGGCTGTTTGGGACAGGCTAAGACTGGGAGTTTTCCTGGGAGTGTTGGGCCGTGAGCTGTGCGTCTGCGTGATCCTGCCAGGGCTTTCCTGGCGAGTTTGTGCGGGCTGGTTGCTGGTGCAGGAGTGCATGCTGCTCTGACTTGGTGGGGAACACTGACCACATCCTGTGATGCCTTGGGGACCTGCCCCGCCCACCTAGAGCTGTGTTGCTGGGGACACCCTGAGCCCCTGGTACCTGGCCCCCACCTCCGCAGGCCACAGAGGGTTTTTTGCAGCAGCAGATAGCCTGCAACGACCTGTGACGATTTTTGGTGGTGAGCACGGTTCCAGAGCACACAGCAGCTAACTGCAGAAGCTCACTGCAAGCCTGAGAGGGAGGCCGGCGCATGACGCGTTGAGCCCTTCCACCCAACAGCTGGTGCTGAGTTGCCCAGAGTCTCTCTATTGCTGAGCAAATGGTCTGCAGATTAAAGCAGGCAGAGAGCCGCCCCCTTTTCTTCCCCCTAGGTGATCTAATATATCGAAGCAATCACAGAATCACAGCCAGAATGAAGAAACAAAGAAACATGTCTCAAGTAAAAGATCAGAAAAAACGTGTATAATGGAACTAAATGAAACAGAGGTATCCAACCTTTCAGAGACAGAGTTTAGAACACTGATGATAGAACGTTTAAGGAACTTAGTGAGGACATAGAGAAGGATAGAGAAATCATAAAAAACAACCAGTTAGAACTAAAGAATACAACAACTGAAATGAAGAACACACTCAAAGGAATCACCAATAGACTAGATGAAGCAGAGGATNAGGAACTACAACCCCAAGATAAATGAGTTATTATCTTGGTGAAATAATTTCCTTGATTTAGTAAAAACCCAAATACATGTGTAAATTTCCAGTGTTATTTCAACAAATGAGTTTTGTATAAAAATAAACATTTATGGGAGGCCTCCTCCATGCAAGGGCATCATGCTGGTGGTTGGGCTGGGGTACACGGTGGAAACTAGACCACGCACACCCCTAAGGAGGTGACAATCAAGAGTCTGAATAATAGGACCACTGAATAACCTCAGCACCAGGCCGGGTCAACCAAGTACAAAGAGAACCACAGAGAGTTGTGAGGGTTAAAGGAGACTGGGGGAAACAGGACCAGCTTGACGAAGGACATGAGACTTGAAATAGGGTTGGAAGGATGCCTAGATTTTAAGAAGCAGAATGGAAGATGGGGAGGGGGAAAATGAGCAAGGGAGAGAAAGTGTTCCCATGAATAAAAGAATAGGAGCATAGACTTGAGGCAGAGGAGGACGGAGCACGGGGGAGGACAGTGAGTTGTAAAGGTTTTAGGTACATGAGATATATGTGGGCAGTATGAGAGCACAGGTACCTAGAAAGGGAAGTTGAAACTTATACAGAAGACCCTGACTGCTGAGTTTGAATGTGACTTGGTAAACAGTGAGGTATCATTGAGCATTTTAAGACACAGAACTGCAGCACATTTTCCTTTTTTATAATTACATACAGTCCTATGCTGATAACAATGTTTTGGTCAACAATAACCCACACAGACGGCAGTGGTGTACATGTACATGCAGCCCAGGTGTGCACAGGTTCACCACAGGTGAGTGCAGGTGCACTCTCTGGTGCTCGCTCGAGGCAAAAGTCACCTCCTGATGCACTTCTCAAAAGGGATTCCTGTGTCAATTGGCATGTGGCTGTCTTGACCAGACGCTACATATGCATTTAAAGCTCTCTATGCAGCACAGCCAACACACCCAGGCTGAAATCCTCCTGACAAAGCTAAACCCAATAGAGGGGAAAAGGCCAGTGAGGAAAGGAGGCACAGGAACCAGGGTGTCGTCACTTATGCTCTGTCAACACTGTAGCTGAGCAGTTCATTTCAACTGAATGCTGGATTTCCTAAATAACAGCTTTGGTTTTGGAGAGTCAGAGTGAAGTACCTGATGATAATAAACTATGGTCCAATTACAGCTTTCAGTTGCTCTTCATTTCTTACCTCCTTCCAAATTTCAGTAATCTTCAGAATTTAAAGCCAATTAAGTTTTTGGCTTAAAGGACTGGAGTTTGGGGCTGCAGTGATGGATGGATGGACTCGTGACATAAGTGTCTGTCATACGCTGAGAATCCTTGAGCTAAAGCAACCCACCTAATCTGAATTATGGGACAGGAAATCCTCTGCCATTCATTAAAAAAAGTCCAATAGCATTTCAAACAACAACATTTTTATAAATATATACACATATGACATATAGACAGAAAGCTAATTACCTCATGATCATGAGTGGCCTGCCTGGCTGCATCTAAAAATATAGAAGAATAAGAGAACATTAAGTTGAAAGATGAAACACAGCATAATAAAACCTAAGCAAATGATGGTGCCAAACCACAAAAACTGCTGGTCTATGTAGGCTACTACAATATATGATAATTTCTCTCTCATGGTTTTATTAATTCGCAAGTCAACAAAAGCTAAAGGGAACCCTGTGTGTATAGGTTACGCAGTTAGACACAGTCCTTACCATTGAGAACAGGGTGGAAAAGTGAACAGGAAACACACCAGAGGCTGTTCATGCAGCACTACAGTTAGAAGGCAAAATGCCGCAGTGTGAGGAGATGCAACGGCTAAAGAACGACAAGCTAGCTGTGGGTGAGGTGTTTTGGAGTGTTTCCTAAAGAAGGGGGACTTGGAGCAATATCTGTAAGGGTGTGGGGGGGGAACAAATTTAATGAAGAATAAAAGGTTCATGAAGACCAGGATCTTGTCTATCTTGTTCACTGCTGCATCCTTAAAGCCTAAGTGAGAGCCTGATGTGTAACAGGAGGTGCTCAGAACATAGTTTCTGAGTGCATGTGTAAAGGAATGCCTGCATGAAAAGGATTACTGGAGGCTGGCAGAAATGGCACATGAAAGTCTTAGAGGTGTCAGAGCAAGGCAGTTAGCTGGTTTAGTTGACAAGAGAAATGCCTAAATTGGGAATTAGAAAAAAAGCACAGGCAACTAAAAGGGGTCTTGCAGCACAAGCCAAATTGTTGGTACTGGATATGGAACCAATTGGAATTTCAAAACGAGAGCAATTTGATTTTAATAAAATTCCAAGATGATGCCTATTAAGTGAACAAAGTATAACAGAGCAAGGATAGGAATATATCTCTTACAGTCATCACTAATAGTAGGCTTTGTGATACTCACAACACACAACAGACCACAAATACATGGGGTCTGGTTCCAGTACCTTGCCTGTGAGATTTGCCTTTTTGCCGGTCCTGGGTTTTCCTGCTGAAGACCTTGTAAGCCTCCGTCTTCTGATACTGCTCCAGTTCCTTCATGTAACGCTCTTTGTCTCGGTCTGCTTCGTCAAGGTAGCGCTAGGAAAGAAACGTGGGATGATTTTCAAGAAACAGATCTTGTTTAGGTAAAATATCAATGAGCTACTTGATGAAAACAGAGGACAATTAGAAAGTGGAAAGAAAAGAATATGGGGAATAAGCTTTAAAAGAGAATTTAAAGTCATATGAATAGAATATAATCTCTATATCATAAAAGAAATAGGTGATTCTGACTTTTTATAGACTTGCTTTTTCTGACTTAATGAAGACAAGTTCTAGTGAGATCATTCTCATAAAAAATTCACAAGGTGGTGATTATGGTTATTTCTTCAATCCTATAGACAGAACTCCACATGGTCACTAGCATCCCTCCAGATGACGGAACACCATATAGACACACTTAGTCCTCCCGGGAGAAAGAAAGGACGGAATATTACTTTGTTTCTCCAATCCCCAACCCATTCTGAGAGAATGATCTCATACATCAATTGGCCTTTTGAGAGCCAGAAGAGTGGAGCACTAAAGCCGGAAGACACAGAGAACGTAAAAAAGAATGACCTCATCCTATAGACTTAAAATGGACCACTGTGAGAGAGCTTGTATCTACATGCTTTGTGTGCTATTATTTAAACAAAGTTCAATGATCTGTTAGCATGATATTGTTTAATGTTTTGTCCTTTTCATTCATCAATTAGGTTTAAGAAATAAAGTATAAAAACACTGCTTCTAAATGAACACAAGCTAGAGTCAGAAATTTTGTTAAAAAACTTGTCCCACACAGAGCCAGATGTAGAGAAGACCCAACTGGCCAAATCTGGGACAATTTAAGTACCCAAATCTGTAAGTATAGTAATAAATGATAAACCATTTG